TCTCGCATTCTTTCACTTGCTTTTTGCCCGTCCCTCGCCTCATCACTCTCCCCTCCCACCCAGCCAATGCCACCATCCCCTTCACTCCATCCCTCTCTGCCTCCGCCTCTACTTTATATTAAAACAACATGATCCATGAGGCAGCGAGGGCGACTCGCAGCACCGCTAATTCTAATTAAACCAGCGTGGTAGCGTGGCCACGGCAGGGCCCAAGCACTCCCAGTCTATCAGTCTATCAGATAGAAATTCATAACTTAATTGAGGTCAGAGCCTTGAGCCAGCAGAACAAAAGTCTTCAGCCAGGACCAGTGAGATCAATAGTAATAAATATCTGACTGCGTGGCCTACAATTGGTGGCTGGAGTGCACACAAGTCGCGTGCACGCAGCCTGCACGTGGGACCTGCAGACGTCTCGTGTGAGAGAAGTTTGGCCTTTGAGACGTTTTATTTTATTTACCCTTTTTTAACTTTTTATATTCCAAGAACTGGGCAGAGCATGCCGCTCGTGAAAAACTGGAAAGGGCACGCTTTGGCTTCAAGTCTGTATTGCTGATTTGTAATGACACGGTCTCTCCAAGGATGCATTGATTTGATATTGTAGTGAGTGGAGTGGGTGGACTTAAACTGAGGTGGATGTTGATTTATTTATTGAGGCCAAACAGTGAATTTGTCTCCATGAGACACCTCGACTTTGCCGAATGTCTGCGTAGATCAGGAAAGAGCTGTAAATAATCTTTGAAGATTTTCCACATTAGCACTTTGTGCATTTGTTCTAATCTAAAGCTATTAGCATGTAGACATTAGCACGCCACACTACGCTGCTCATCTGTCAGTTCATAAATGCCCCAACTGGAAAAACCAAATGTTTAGTTATGTCATGCATCTTTAAGCCAGTGTAATCTTAACTAATCCACACACCCAGCTTTAATAAGCCTGTCCTAACATACAGGTGAAGGTCCCTGATGCAGATGATGTTCGGGTCCTTTATAGCCTGTCGCCAAATATTCACTCATGCTTCGGAGATCCTCAGTTATGACAGTAACCTAAAGCTTTGTCAAAAAAGTGAAAATGATAATGCAACAAAAATGTGTCAGTTATTTATTTATACACACCCACGCACGATGCCAAATGTTGGCGCTGCGTTGGAGTAAATCCACAGGTCGAAGGCTTCAAAACTAGTTGCAGCTGATGTGTTCGTTACGAGATTATTTCAGTTATTTCTTTTCTCCCCTGTACCTCCCAAAACCTACTGCATTTATCA